CTCTTTTTAAATTAGAGTTTTGTGGTGGTTCCTTACTGTTAAAGCACTGTGTTCTGTAAGATACCCAGTTTTTTCATAGCAAAAGGGCATCACTGGCTAGAGTTGGAGTAGTTAACAAAAGAGTATGATGGTTTTCAATCCATGGCATGAACTTTGGCTCCAAAGTTGTAGAGGTCATCAGCATGGACAAATTGATGTCAGCTGATCTTTATAAATATTGGGATATGTACAAGGTAATTTGAGCTACTTCAGACTTTTGTTACTTGTGTTTAATATTAGACTGCAGTGCCAGCCCCTCAGATGCACGTAGCAACAAGCTGAAAAGCATGCAGTTCATCTCCAGCTTCATCCTCACAGGAACTGAGCTGTCTGGTACAGATCCAGAAGTACGATTTTCTGTGGAAGAGCTGGATATAAGACAACAAAGTGCAGTGCATCTCCAGAAGTGGTTTCTCTTGGTGTGTCCAGTGTCTAACCTCAGCAGGAGCAGAGAACTTTGTTTCCTAAATGAATGTGAAAGACCTCCAGGAAAGGATGGGTTTGTTTGATTGTTGAGCCAGATGGTTTTTTCTTTTTCTTCTATGCAGAGAAACACAAATGAATTACTTACTGCCAGTTAAAAGGAAGACCCTAGACGTGGCACCACATCCATGTGTTTTGTTTTCAGTTGCTGGGTGGTGTTTAGAAGAAAAAGAAAACAAACAACACAAATCATTTTGCATAACTGTTGGGCTCTGACAGTAAAAATTCTTACATTCTTGTTGGTTTCCTTTGCATTTGGGTACACCTGGTCAATCAAAGATTGTGTGCTTCCTTTGTAATGTGAGAACATGCCATGGTTAGCTTTGACATAGCTTCCTAGGAGCAGCCTAACTACAGCAGCACGATGACTGCTTTCTGCTTCTGTAAAATTAAAATAAATTTAAGGAACTGAAAAATCTTAAAGTCATAAGTTTTTAATTAATGCCATTGGTGTCAGGAATCCTCATTAATCACAGCGATGTACATTCTGTCTTCACTTTCCCTTTGCATCTGGACGCGCTTAATTTGAGCTCCAGTGACAAAACTTTGCAGAAGATTTTAGGTTATGAGCAATACAACTTGTCCCAGATTCACTGCATTTGCAGCATCCTCACCATTTGTCAGATCTTCTTGCAGAGATGAATGATGGCATAGAACACTGTTTCTTGATGGAAAACATGGCTTGCAGCATGACTTAGATTTAATAGCACGTTGTGGTGTTAGCTTATATATATTACTGTCATATATAATACTTTTCTGAAGGAAAGTTTTTTTTTTTTTTTTAAGAATATGGGTTCTTCCTTCACTAAAGATACCAATGTACTTTTGTGCATGGTGTGCTTTTTAGAATGGTGTTCTATTTCAGTATGGCTACCTGGATGCTTCTTAAGAGCTTTGATTAGAAGTAGAAGTTATATGTGGAGTTGCCCTATTTTTAGCTTTTTTTTAAAGGGGGGGAAAGAAAGAGTTGCTAAGAATTATTTTTTGAAGATGCATGACTGTTGTTAGATTGTTTCCTCTGCATATGGTAAGGGCTATATCCAGAGAATACATATAAATATGCTTCTTAAACTGAGTAGGTACGCCTTTGTAGTGGAGCTTTGAAGTGAATAAGGAGCTGGTAGTGTCTGTGACAACAGATGTCACATTAGGAAAAATATGCTATTCACTTTCCTCAGGTCTCTGCATGAAGAGCATTCATGCTCAGCTTTGACCACGAAGAGAACTCTTGCTGTTGGGATGCACTCGTTTCTTTAGGAGATCTGGTAAACACGCTGCATCGGTGGAACACAGCGCACAAAGGACCTGGCTACCCTGAAACAGAGGCAGTAGAGATTAAGGTGTAGTTTCTAAAAGGGATAAAAAAGAGGTGGTGATGCCCTTGAGCCCTGAAAACAAGTTTCTATCCTGTGCTGAGAGCTGCTCAGCAGATGGGGAGAACAGCAGGGATGAATTTGGTGATTGGAGGATAACTCAATTGCTAACGTTTTTTGGTGAACAGATTGAAGTATTTTGAGTGCAGAAGGGATGGCGTAGTGCTGCTGGTAGCCATGCCAGGCAGCCATGAGCCTACCTGGAGCACTGCATGCCAGCTCACTCATTTGTAATTAAGAAACATGGACGGAAACTAGAACAAGTATGAGCAAGTACTCTTTTTTTTTTTTTTTTTTTTTTTTTTTTTTTGCTGCTGTCCAAAAATACCTTGAAACAAAGAGCAGTGTGAGGAGTAAGAGCCCAGGATTGCAGCATGACAGGACAGTGGAGTCTATTCTTTGACTTTCATGGACAAACACATTCCTCTTTCTCATCCTAAAGGAGTTCTACTCTAAAAATAGTTAGGATGCTGGCTTTTGCTGCTCCCTTTGGAAAGCTGGTTGTAAACAGCTCCGTGGGTTCCACTGGTTATAAATTGAGACTGGAGACACATTTCTGAGTTTCCTTGACTTCTTTTGAACAGTGCATAGCTTTAACTTGTGAATACCCTTACTTGTTAAGAACCTGAAGCTTCTACTGATGAGAATTTGCTGCTTTCTTTATTTTAAAAATTTGATGTATTTTCAATAATAAACACCTCACCAAATATTTACAATGGCAACATTTTTTCTTCATTCTGACAGAAGTAGAAGGGTAATTACACCAAGATATATAGTTACACATTACTGCTGAGTTGTTAAGTAGCTGTCATCTAAGACCACAAATGCAGTGTTTGACAGTTCATGTTACTGGGCAGCTTTCTCCTGCTGTGCCTTGCAAATAGGTCGGTTATCTCACGGCTGTCTTCTAAGTACAGACCCACATTTTCACTGTAACCTTGCAATCACAGCTAGAGTAAAGGGCATCTATTTTATTTGAGATTGCAGTCATAGTTGTGTTGTTTTTTTTTTTTTTTTTTTTTTTTTTTTTTTTTTTTTTTTTAAATAAAAGAGGGCTTAACAGTATTCTAGACAGAAACAAAGTTATTTGGGTCTTGTGGATTCTTTTCAGAATAATTCTACTTGACCCCGTGTATGTCATACCTAATTTTCCAAGGTGGATGCCTAAAATTAGATGCCTCTGTCTGCAGGCTTGGTCTAGTTTCAAAGGAACTGGAAACTTAGAGAAGGACTCTTTTCAGCCCTGGCACTGCGTCATCTCTTACTGACAGGATGGGCTGTGTTGAAGTGCTCTGAAAACCCGAGGTGCTTCTCAAGGTTTTTGCCCTTTCCAATTCAGAAGTATACCAGCATATTATTACTTCTTTTTATTAAACCACTTTCCGTTACTGAAGTTGCTGTCTTTGAAGCAGTCTCTGGGAAGCTGGGGCAGTGAGCTCTATTTGGATGAAATAGTTGAATTCAAAGACATAGTTATGAAATCTGATTTTTAGCATCAGTATTTTGGACGTCACCACTGTGTATTATCAGTTCAAAATGAGCTCAGTTGTCACTTCAGACCTATGGCATGGTACTGTTGCTGGGGAGAGCATGTAGGGAAACTACAGCCATGCTCGGACTCTTGGCTGTGCTTTGATTCTTATCTGTCTGGCTGCTTGAGAGAAATCACACCACTAGTTTACTTTTATTTGTATTTTTTAATAAGTCCTCCTTTCCTGATAAGGAGTTGGAACTTGATGATATTCAAGGTCCTTTCCAAGCCAAGCTGTGCTATGATTATAGGCAACGGATCTTTAAAGAACCAATTAAAGAAGTAGTTTAGGTGCTGCCTCGTGAAGCAATTTTGCAATTTCAGATCAAAGTGAAGATTAAAACTCAGTTTGGAGCAAAATGTATCAGTGTTCTAATGTCATGATTTGCAGATACAGGCAGAACTGACTGAGAAGCCTATGCAGGCAATAGGGTGAACTCTCTGTGTTCATAAAACCTCTTAAAACAATTTGGGCTTATTCAGTTAACTGCTGTGTTCTGAGACCTTGGTGACTGCTGGTATTGTGCACCAACAAAAGGAAATAGAAAAATAGTCTTAATCATTAGGGCATGCTGGTATGCAGCACCTTACTGTTATTGTTCAAGTACTAAAGAAGATTAAGGGTCACATCATCACAGAGACATGCTTTACTGTCTTCTGACTGACTCATGTTTTTAATAGGCATCAGTGAACTAGATTAAGGAAGCAATGCTGAGCTGCTGAAGTCTCCTTCAAGAGACTTGATTCTTTTAGTTACCCCCTAAGATGTGGAGGATTAAAATTGTCTTATCATTCAATTCCTTCCCTCTCAAATTTCTGAAGTATTTGTAGCTGTTTTGGCCTTGTCTAATTGTGTTGAAGTTCTGGTGCCAAATCTTAGAGACTTAAAGTCACCCCAGGCTGCAGGTATGTCTGACCTAAATGAGCTGTCTGACTTGTGAGGAGAGGAGCTCTGCCCTTGGCTTCAGTGACTGTGGAGGAGACTGTGTTTGACTGGCTCACACATGGATGTCCACTGTGCAGTCTTACTGGTGTATATTATTGCCTAGAATTGGCTGGGCTCAAGATGTGATGGAAACAGCAAACAGCTGCTTTTTTCTTTATGTATGTTGATAGCTTATTCTGTTACAGATCTTCAAAAGCCCATTGTACAATTACCCCTATGTTAAATGTGTTACTGCTCTTTATATTGTCATAACTTAGATGGATTCAAACTTAAACAAAAAAAGAAAACCTACAAACTGCAACAAAAGAAAAACCCCAAACACACACAAAACAAACAAACATAAGATACTGCTGCTGGTAGGGCTTTTTTTTTGTTTCCATTTTAAGGCAAAACCTGATGGACTTGTGGTGGATTACTATAGTAGTACTATTACTTTGAGTTGTTCTCACTGGTTTAACTTTCTATTAATAAGATGGAACCCATAAAACCAGTGCTAAATTTTATGATAGTGGTACCAGTGCTTCTGTTGATCTGCATTGAACTTTAAATTATCAATACTGTATTTTCTTATTTTTTATTATACCCAGACATTTTTCACAATTTAAAAAATACAACTTTTTTATTCCAGATCTGTTTTCTCCTATTTGCTGTTCTCTACATAGTGTCCTACTTCATAATCACAAGATACAAAAGAAAAGCAGGTAAGCGTGAAGTTGTTAATATCTTCAACGTTTGTTTTATTTTTTGAGTGAGTAGGTGATTCCTTTCCTCTCTGCTTCCACGAGAACAGCAGAAGAATCTGCCTGGATCTCTGATGAAATGTGTTTCTCTGACTGCTGTATCATGTCATCCTGTGCTGATCTGTTGGTATATGTTGCTGTCTTACCCTTTGTCTGCTCCCTTTGTCTCCAAGCCATGAGTTCTCCATCCCTTCTGTTGTGCCACCTCTAGCACTTCTTGGAGCCTTCAGTGTGCATTAAAGGCAACAGATCTTTAAAGAACCAGTTAAAGAAGTAGTTTAAATGCTGCCTCATGGAGCAATTTTGCAATTTCAGATCAAAGTGGAGATTAAAACTCAGTTTGGAGTGAAGGGTGGAAACACATTGAAGTGTCTGTAAAGATCAGTGTGTGCCACAGCTGGTCCTTCGTGATTGAGTGAGAATATGTGGCTGGGGGGAGGAGGTGAGGGTGGCCACAACCTGTTCCATTATGGCACTGTGGCAGCCCGGATTTTAACTGTTTTGAAACAGAAGAAAGGGGAGAATTTCAAGTGGGAAATTCTGCCTCTATTGCCTTCAGATCTTGTTCTCCTTTCACGTAATCTTTACTAAAATCAATGTCTTTTAGTGTCAAAATCAACTTCAGAACTCTAGCTGGTAAATGAAAAGGTTGCCAGTACTACTGAAGGGAAGTAGTAGATTTAGTGTAATGATTTTGCTTTGTTCAGGTGTAGTTGTTTTGGTGTTCTTCCTTAATCTGTTCTTTATGACCTCCTCACTGAATTCTTATTCCTTGAGATAATAATTTTTTCCCTTACTTTTGAAACGCTGTATGTCTGAAACTAATCTGTAATCTGTAGGGACCCCTGTCATTTTCTTCTATCTCTGCTAGAGGCAAATACCATACAAGTATATACAGCAGCAGAATGTTTGACTTTCGATGGCTTATTTAGGACTTGATGCACAGTCAATCATGCTGGAAAAACATTTGATTGCTACAAGATGTTGATGCTTCAAATTTGGGTAGAAACTGATTGTTGGACCTGTAAGAATAAAGTTTATTTCATAGATGGACTTGTATACAAGATAAAAAGTAAAATATTAAATAAATTTAGTGGTTTTTTTTTTTAAATGATGTATGCTCTTTAAACATAGTGAATAGTTAAACAAGTGAATAAAATGTAATGACTTGTTATCCTGGTATGTATCCTGGTGTGTTACAAATCTGCTGCTATTTGGAGGTGTGTAGAAGAAAGGGGAGAAAGAATTGTTATGACAAACTGTTGGCTGCAAGGACGCTTTTTCCTTTTTTGGCGGTTGATCTCATCAGCTAGTGAGAAGAAATGGTTGCAGCTGTCATTACTTTTTGGAAGTTTTGTGACTGTTCACACAGACAAGTTTCATTTGCTTGCTGGACTCTTACCGATAAGTTTGTAGAGTTAGCACTCCTGGAGTTTTTTTGGAAAAGTTGCTGTTTGTACAACTCTTCTAGCCAAAGTAATTCATAAGAAATCTGCACTTGATCTCTGAAAATGCCGTAAGATTCCCATCAAAACAGCTTCAGATTCTGCTCAAAGAAATGGAAGCAAAACTCCTGTTCTTATGAAATTATTCTAGTACTTGTGTTGGTGACTACACATTTAGTTTGAGTGTCCATGACTTAAGCTTGAAACACCTGGTTTGTTTCTTCTTAAGTTGAAAAATATTTTTTGAGTAACCTCATGGAAAACCTCAGACTTTAAAGGAAAAAACTCACTCTAAGATGGTATCGAATGCATAAATAACACCAAGAGGTACAGAAAAGGGTATAAAGAACAGAGGAAGGGTGTAAGTGATTGACCTTCTTTTATTTCAAAAAAATTGGAATGTACAACAACAGATTTTCCTTTGCTGGCTCCAATTTATTTTTTTATTTTTCAGATGAGCAAGAGGATGAAGATGCCATAGTTAACAGAATATCGTATGTATAGCTCTCTTTTTAAGACTTTTTTTACCTGAATATATGATAGGAATTGTGTATGCTTCCAAATCAAGTAAAAATCTATTTGAAATGTGATGACAAATAAAGGGTGCTTTCATGGGGCAGAGGAAAAATATTTAATTATGTGGCAACTTGCATTCTGAAAGGTGTAATGACAGAAGGCAGTTTGGTGTAGGGCTTCTTTCACCTGTGCCCTTCCTGGTAAGCACTGTGTTGGTCAGAAGGTTGCACGAGGACCTGATGCTAGAGGTACAGTACAGTGCAAGGGTTGCATCTAAGTTAAGGTGTCTAAAGTGTAGATGTCTATATATGAAGTATGTCCCACTGTTCTACTCAATGGCAATCTTGTCAAGGGGAGCAGTGGGTTCTGGGGAGCGACTTCACTCACAATGAAGCAGACATCTGCATTTGATCATCTGAAGAGTGCTTATAAAAGAGTAATGAATGGAAGTGAAACTCTTGCCAGGCCTGCTGGTCTGCCAGAGACTGTCCTCTTCCTGTTCTTTTTAATAAAGCTAGATATTAATCTCTCCTATTTAGATATATCTGAAGATTTAAAGAACATCTGTGAGCTGTTGCTGCCCTCTCAGTTTTGTAATTTGCAATACTCTGTGGGTTTGCTACTGACTTATTATAATGCTCTTAGCTATTCTGTGGTGGTACTGTCATCTTGTTGGAAGGAGAGCTTCATTGCATGTTTTATTGATTTGTCTTGTACTCTGGGAAAGTGCCGAGTACATTTGCAAGCTGTTCACTTTTGGTTGTGCACTTGTGGCAAGCTTGAAAGGCGCACAAAGATGAAACAAATCTCAGACATGCCCTGCCCACTGATGTCTGATATTTTTCTATGAATTAAAAATTCTCGTTTGCCACAAGGCCTTCAGATCAAGAGAGGTAAAAACTACCTACTTTTCTAGTGTAGGAAGCTCTCAGCTGTAATTTAGAGAAAAGGTTCTCTCTTCTGCTTTAAAACTGCAGTGAATTAAAATCTCTTCTAGATTGAATGATTTTTGTGACAGCAGTGATCTTAGCCACACTGAATTTTTCAGCATCCAAAGAGTGAAATTTGTCTGGTAGCTGTTATGTTCCTGCATCTTCTTTCCTAGGTTAGCTTATAAACATAACAAATATCAATTCTAAATACTCTGTACTTTATAAGACTGCTGTGTAAGTCAGGACAGCATTAGCACTTCAGTATAATAACTTTTCATAGAAAGTGGTGGGAATGTTATTTTTCAGAAGGCAATGACTGTCAATCATGCAGATAGGTATTTGTTTTCCCAGCACAGTTTTCAGGACTTAACAGGTGAGTGGGGGAGAAAACAGTCAAACTGCAGTAGCATCTTAGAATATAGTGTGCTAGGTTTTACAATTCTGGCTTAGAATAATTCAGTATCCTTAAGGAAAAGAAAAGTAGTTCAAACCAACAACAAAAGCATATAGCAGTACCTTCTTCTGAAATGAAATTCTTCTGCAAATTAAGTACTGTGGAGTGAATAATAGATTTGCAGAGACTATTGTGGAAAAGTAACATTTCTGTAAGTAGCTTATTGACTTTCCTGTTATAAACTCAGATAATTCCCAATTTCTTTGTTATGCAGCTTTGTTCTGTCAGTGGATTTGTTCTGTGAGAATGTTTTTGCCTTTTTTTCTGAAGAGCACAGTTCTTTCCAATGCCACAAGATGGCATTTCATTTGAATTGCATTTGATCTGAAAGGAATAAGATTGAATACTTTACCTAATCCTAATGATGCCTCTGTATTGACTTCGCAGTTACCAAAAAGCCCCAAGCTGTGACATGATGTTCAAATATCTAATTTGTGAAAAAAGCAGCAATTATTTGTTTGATGTTAATATATTTGTGTAATTGTACCCATTTTGTAGACAATAAAAAGCTGCTCTGCTTTTGAAAAAGTATAGTAAGAATTTAGGAGGAAATTAAAAGGAATTATCAAAAGAAACTTCATGAATTTCAGCAATTTACCTTGTAATTTTGAATGCATACAATTCCAAAGAGGATTACTAGTTAGTTACTAGCAATTAGTTACTAGTAATTATTTCAATATATTCTGTAAACTACTTGGTATTAGAATTTGCTTTTTTGATGTGAAATATTGTGGAAATCACAGGATTGCCTTCAGATACCAATTAATAGGTAGCTAACTACTTTGTTTAACCCTGTTCAGAGCATGTTGATGTTGGTAACAGTGGTACATTTCTTTAAATTTCAGGCTGTTCTTGAGCACCTTCACTCTAGCAGTTTCAGCTGGTGCAGTCCTGCTTCTGCCTTTCTCAATAATCAGCAATGAGATCCTGCTTTCTTTTCCACAAAACTACTATATTCAGTGGTTAAATGGCTCACTAATTCATGGTTAGTACTCAGCATAATGTAATTAAAATGGATATCTTCATTATTTTTAAACTAATAACACTATTTTCATTTGAGATGTTAGATGAATTGTTGATATTTTCCTGGTTAGTTGGGTTTGCTGCTGGATTGTGCATCATAAAAATCTGTTTTCATTGTTCTGTTGTTTAATCCCTTCAAGCCTAAGTAATTCTTTAATAAACCAAATTGAATACGATTGTAAATTAGACTTACCTGAGCCTAAGTAACTTGAAAACATTCTGTTAAACTTCCTGGTGTGTAAATGGAAATTTCATAAGCCTGTTGATGATAACTTTGTATATAAAGTGCATATTTCATTTGAAGAAACATGCTAGCTGTGAGCAGTTATGATTAGATAGTTAAATTCAACTCTTAATTGTAAGCAAGGAAAATCAGAATGTAAATGCATCAAGTTTAATAAAGAGGCATGATAAAAATGCAACTTGTTTTCATTGAAACAGTTCAAGAAGAGTGTAATTTCTGGAAGCATACTTGCAGGGATGATGCCTTGAGCTTTGTATTCTTTCCAATACTGATGAATGTGCTTGAGTGTAAGAAAATGTATGTAATGAATACTAACTAATTTGAAAACTTTTTGCACACCTCTACGTGTCTAGGGAAATAGCTAGTGGGAACATGATGTTCTTCAATGCAATTGGTAGGAGGAAGGAGATAATGTGTTATTTCAGAGAGTATTAATTTATTTCAGAGGTAATTAATTTGAAATCATAAAATCATGGAATCATCAAGGTTGGAAAAGACCCACAGGAACACCCAGTCCAACCATCCACTCATCACCAATAGTTCTCACTAAGCCATGTTCCTCACCACAATGTCCAAATGTTCCTTGAACACCTCCAGGGTTGGTGACTCCACCACCTCCCTGGGCAGCCCATTCCACTGCCTAATGAATGAAGTTAAGATGGTAATTGGGCTCTGCATGAAATCTCATTTTTTGTTTGGTAATACACTTCAGTAAGACATCTGATAATATGCATAGCAAATTCCTGAATTTCCCCATCCCCCAACGTGGAAGGTTTCATTAATGAGAAGAAGTTAATTTACAACAGATTTAATGTGTGGGTAGGTAAAGCCAGGAGATAAAGCATATCATCTGTTATCTTTCTGAAATTAGTTGAGTTGTTGTTTTGTTTTTTTTTTTTTGTATGATCTAGGTAGCAAAGCAAGAAAATAAGAGAAATTATGGGATAAATACATACTTTAAGGGAATGGACTCTGTACTGTTCAGGAAGTGGAATGTCGATGGAGTATGTCCCAAAGATGAAGCAACCCAGGAGAGATGCTTATTTCCAGGGATAACCTCCTTAAAGTGCTGTAAGAGTGCACCTGCTTGTGAATGACAGCAAGTAGGTGTGGTGTGATAGAGGCTGATTTGGCCTAATGGGAACTCCTGAGGTCAAATCTGAAGAGGAGTTTCATGGATGGTTGAAGTGGGGATGAGCTGCCTAGGAGGAGTATAGAAATAGCACCTGTGTTAATATTCTAGGGTGAAATTAGGGAAACCTGATTTCCTAACTGGGACATAGGGACACAAACAGCAAGATGAAGGAAAGCATCATCCTGTTGTTAACTTGAGGTAGTTCTTGCCTCAATCTTTGCTAGCAAGGTCTGCTTTAGGATTTCATGAGTCTCTGTGCCAAATTGTGGCACAGAGAAGGAGGCAGGGGAGGATATGGGCCCTGAGTGTTGTAGGAGAGGATTGTGCTAAATAATAAACGGGAACAAACAGATCAGTGGGTTGCATCCCTGGGTGCAAAGAGATTCTGGAAAACAGAAACCTCAGGGAGCTGACTGCAGTATTTACTGACCTAGGGGATGGAGAGAAAAGAGCCAGATTTTTTTTCTGCTGCATGCAGTATGAAGCAAGATGTGTGCATGGATAGTTAAAAGGCCATCCAGACAGACTAAATCCTTGGAAATTTTCCAAAATTTAACTGGCTAAAGCCTTGAGTAGCTTGACTGGACTTGCTGGTTATCTATTTTAAGTGAGAGATCAGGCTCCATGACTTTAAAGTTTTTTGGTAGTCACACTTGTAATAGGGTGCTGCTAATTTAGCATGTCTCCTACTTTGTAATGGGCTATTCAGCTGTTCAGGCAGTTATATTCTTCTCTCTCAAACACGGTAAAAGAGACTGTTTCATAGAAAATAATCCTTCACACTGTGTCTGAGTTTATTTTGGGGAGAATACAGTGCTGCAGAGGATGAAAGTTTTGTAGTGAGCAATTCTGCAGTACTCTGTATGTTAGAGTTCTTTCAGTACTTCAGAAAATGCAGGTTACTTGGAAATTTGCTGGAAAAATGTAGTTTTCAGATAGGAAGGCCTCTGAATTATCCTGTGAGCATCATCTTTTGATTTAATATGATAGTCATAGTCACAGAGTGGCCTGGGTTGAAAAGAACCACAATGATCATCGAGTTTCAATCCCCCTGCTATGTGCGGGGCTGTCAGTCACCAGAGCAGCCTGCCCAGAGCCGCATCCAGTCTGGCCTTGAATGCCTCCAGGGATGGGGCATCCACAGCCTAAAATTGCAGTCTTTGTGCCTGCACGATGTCGTGTACATTTCTAAGTCCAATAGCAACGGCCAGCATGAGAGGCAGTCACCACCAGTGTGTTTCCAAGTTTGATCAATGCTGATGCTAGTGGTAGAGGTGACTGAACTAAACCAGGATTTACCTCAGTTGGTGTGAAGCCGTCAGAATTTCAGCAAGTTTCAGGTATGACGAGGGGCTTCTCAGAACTTGGGAACAAGTCGGTGTTTATTTCAAAACTTTACCTTTGGAAGGGGCTCCCTCTTGTGGCATTCACTGGGTTTGCAGAGTAGTGTTGCTTTGCTTTGTAAAACCCTGTTCCCGTGAATGAACAGTCTACCTTCTTGAAGTGAATTATGAATAATATGTCCTGAGAGCTGATAGAGAAAATGTTACCATCTCTGTAACTGTCTGGCATTGCTTTTATGTATTTATTACTAACATTTATTATTAAATGTTACTGAATGGGAAAATTGGTATTGCTTTAAAATGCTTGTGTTAATTTATCAATTGCACGTGTAGTGTGAGATACTTAATTGTAATGTTAAGGTGTGTTGTTTTTACTGTTGGCTGTTGCTTTAGTTTTGTCATATAGGATAATCCCGTAGAATAAAGTATATGCTTTCAATTTTTGAAACTAGGAAGAGGGCCCTTAGCTAGGCCCAGATTAAATAGCCTTAACTAATGTGTGTTGAGCTAAACCCAGACAGGGTTGAGCGTCTAACAGCTGTAGTGTTCACTTGTGCTGTTTTTAGGTACAGCCACCAGGTGGAGGTAGAATGCAAAGAAACTGTCATGAATCAGAAAAGAATTGCTGAGGCTGTTCTATGGTTGCCAAAGACCAAGTTTTTAATTTTTGTTTTATTAACTTATTCTTTGGGGATTTTCTTAAGTCACTGCAAAAACTTTTATGAAAAAAAAGGGACTTTCCCCCAAAGCAAACCACTAGAACTGCTTAAAGCTTTATATATGTTAAGATCTGCAAACATCTTAGGCAGTTTCATGGTAAAATCTATATAATAGTAACTGTTTATTTTCAGGGTGTATTTTAATTTGATTTCTTATCCTAATTTGTTAACTTAGAAATGTAATAGGGGAAGAAGGCCCTCTGTTCAGTCAGTGAAGTAGGTGGAAAGAAAGAAAAATGAGAACCTGTTGAAATGTATGCATATATGTTTATATATACATGTGTACGTATGTCAGCAGCACTACAGCACTGTCCTTACCTCTCAAAATGGTGTATTTCTGTTGTACCTTTGCAGTTTAACATTGTGTATCAGCTGCTAATGTGTAAATTTTAGTTTTCAACTTCTTAGGCATCACTTGAGATGTGTGCCACCATCCCATCTCTTAAAATGCTCTGTACTATTATATGCATCCCTTAGCACTGTTTTGATCTGTAGATACATGTAACACAGCTGATGAAATTTTGACAACTGTGTATGCAGTTTTAGTTAGCTCAGTTTGTTAGTGTCAGATGTATTTTCCATTAGAGAAAATATCTAAATTAGGAAGACTCCTACCTCTTCATCCCTCCCCAAAAAAACCAAAATTGGGTAATATTTCAGCTCAGAAACTCCTGTGCATTTTCTGGAGGAGTGGGTGTGTATATATGTGTTCATACATACATGTGTATAAATATATACACACATAAACAGAACTCTTGTTATTGTATTTCTGATAAGGACTTATGATTCTGTTCTTCCTGATGTTGTTGTGTGTTAATTAATGTTCCTTACATGGTAACAGGAGCTTCCTGACAGCAAATTCTAAAGAGAAAAATCCCCCTCTTTGTTAGCTAAGTTTAGCCACCTTCAGGCAGTCTGTTTTCTTTAGCATTTTTCAGTATTGTATTTCATGCATCTTTTGGGTTTTTCTTGTCTTATTTGTATCACTAAGCTTGTGTCCTGGCACTACCAACTGATGAAGTACGTTCCCTGTCATTTTTTTTTTCTCCTTTAAATTTCAATATTTTACAGGGAAAAAACATAAGTCCGGTGAAAGTCTTTTTTCTTCTTTTACTTTTCATTTTTGTTTCTTTTTAAGGTGAAAGATAACTTCTAACCATTTCACATTTTGAACTAAATATATGGATTTTATTCCATAATGACTTCTCATACCATTAGCGCACACCTCTTCCTATTTTTTCCAAACTGGACAGTTTTTAGAAAGGAAACAAGCCTGTTTGTAAGAAGGAAGGTGGTATTTTGATTTTTCTTTTCTTTTTTTTCTTTTTATCATGGAGGATGTTCTTTTTTGGATTTCAGATGATAAACTAGTCATGTAGAATTGTGGATATGCGTGTGTTTTTCTCAGCTGCAAAACAGAAGCTGTATTTTCAGATGCAGTACTTGTAACACTAGCTGAACCTGATAGTTACACTAGTATGAAATTGCAGGTTAAGCTGTAATACTTAAGAAGAAACACAGCATCATGTAAACATCTGATAGGATGATGTTGATGACTGTGTATTTGTTCAGAACGTGCCCATATCAGAAAATCTTAATAAAGTAGATAGCCTTAATGAAGATCAGTTATCACTTCAGATTGCTTCTTAAACCTTTTCCCTTCCTGCAGATGTCACGTGTTTTACAGATGTTCTAGCAGTAGTCAGTTGCTGGCTTTTCTTCTAAGTCAGAGAGGTTGAAGTTGGAAGGGACCTCTGGAAATTGTCTTGTCTATGCCCTGCTCAATGTAATCTGTTGGAAAAGCTGCTCAAGGTAGTGGCCTGTTGGGTTTTGTATATCCCTAAGAATGGAAATTACAGAATGCTTATGGGCAACCTGTTGCAGTGCTTGACCACAATGGCAGTAAAAAAGATTTTTTTTCCTTCTTGTTTTTAGTTTGTGCTTGTTGCCTTGTCTCCTTTCACTGGAGACCACTACGAGAAGTCCAACTCTGCTTCCTTACCATCTCCCCCAACAGATATTTATATACATTGATAAGATCAGCTCTTCTTTCTTGAAGATTAATTATTTTTGGGGTCCTTTGGGCTTGTTAGAATATATTCCCATTTGTACGGAGGAGCCCACAGCTGGATTCAGCATTCCATCATCTGTGCTGAGTAGAGGAAGGGTTACCTCCTTTGGAATACTGATAGCACTTCTCCTAATGCAACAAAGGATGCAATTAAATGTCTTTGTTGCAAGAGCTCCTGTTCAACTTGGTACCTAACAGAACCTTCTCTACAAGGCTGTTTTCTCACCAGTTGGTCCTCAGCATGCTCCTCCTGTTGTCACTGGCAAACTTGCTGAAGATGCACTCCTTCGTATCGTCCAGGTCATTAATAAAGATGTTAACCTCAGTATTCCGGGGGTGCACCAATGGTGCCAGGCTTCTAGCTTGACTTTGTACTGTTATTCACAACCTTTAGATCACAAAAGCTCAGCCAGTTTTCAGTCTGCCTCATTGTCCAGTTGTCTGTCCCGTATTTCATGAGCTACACCGTGGGAATGTTCTGGGAGATAATTTGAAAGCATTATTAAGGTTCAGATAATCTACTCTCCTTTTGTAACTGAGGAGCTGCTGTTGATGTTACTGCAGTCTTTCACTTTGGAGGTAGTGATAATATTATTCAAAATGTCCACAGTTTGTCTAAGTTTCTCTGAAGGAAAAATGTGTGAGATAGTGAATATATAGAACTGATTTTTTGGTATTTGCTTGTGGTAAAGTACTTTTCTCCTGAAATTTATTTTTTGAATACACCAAAAAGTGGGATATAGTGAAAGTAGTCAACCTGATTTTGCAGCCTATTTCCCAAAATTTCACCCAGTTTCCTCTTGAAGTTGGTACCCACTTCTTCTTCAAAGCTTATAATACAGAATGATTCAAGTGTTTTCTTTTTTAAGCAGTGACCCATAGATAGATATGTATCCATTAGACTCTGGCTTCTGTTAGTACTTAAATGTTTGCTTTGTTGTTGTATGTAACAAAGGAAAATGTAACATAACTAACTTCTAATATAGAGAAACTTGTAATGTAAACTTTTTCTTGTTCATTTCAGGTTTGTGGAATCTTGCTTCTCTTTTTTCCAATTTGTGTTTGTTTGTATTGATGCCCTTTGCCTTTTTCTTCTTGGAATCAGAAGGATTTGCTGGCTTAAAAAAGGTAGGAAAATGCTGTTAAATGCACGTGGAGTATTTGCAGTACATGTTCCATTCTCAGTCTTCATTTCTAGTGGAACAAGTTACAGATTTGGGAGGACTTCTGTGCTGCGTTGTGTATGCTTTTGTGAATGTGTGTATATAGATGTGCCAACTTGAACAAGCAGATGAAGTGAGTACAATATATGTGGTTGTGAGTAATCTTTAGGAAAAGTCCCGTGTATGCTGACATCAAGAAAACACAAGAAAGTGGTTTAACATGTGGTTTGTTTTTTAATAATGTTTTAACTGAGGCTTTTTTGAGGAAGATAATTTAGTTGGGATGTTTTTTAAACAAACAAGTTCAATCAGTGCAGTAGAAATGAAGCAGTGGGAAGAAGTACAGGCTTCTTCTTGATGGCTGATTAAATAACATGAACTGGAGAAAACTGAGAAGTGTGATGTGTGAGTTCTAAAAGTCAGAATGTTACAAAAAAAAGATTTTATTTAGAACAGTTCAGTTGAAAGAGAACTCCAGAAATCATCTGCCTGATTACTACAAGGCTAAGCAAAAGTGTAAGCATTTTATTAAGTGCATCATCCAAGTGCTTCTTGAGCACTGACATGCGTGGGGCATACTGTGACCAGCATTAACCGTGTGTTAAGAAAGCTATCTTAAACGAGTAGAAAATAACAAACAATTTTCAAGTTTATTGAATGTAGTAAAGTTGAGAGGACTGACTTCTGATGAAGCATGGAACTTGGGAAAGCAATTTCTCAATAATGTGATAATAATAATATATGAATAATAATAATGTAATCTAAAGAAATGAGAGACACAGCAAAATGAATTGCAAATGGTGAACATTAAATGACTGAAATGAGAATGACTATCTAGGGACTAGTTGAAGCACGTGCTTTTTTTGGTTTTCATCATCCAAAAGATAGCACTTTGGTTTTAATGGTACTGTGCTTGAGGGGATAGCACACCTTTTGGATGACAGTTAGTAGCAAAGGACTTTGGAAAGTGCCCTGAAGTAAGGAAAATGAAAAGAATGAGCACAGAGACTATTGAGATATCAGTGGTTTGCATGTAAAATCAGCAAGGTGATGATTGTGGCAGAATTCTTGGTTGCGTTGACAAGGCCATATGCACAGAATTGAAGTCACTGTTTTGTTCTGGTGGAATTGGGGAAGCTTCCAGACAAGTGCAACATTCAGTTTGGGATTGTTGAGTTCATATAGATGCTTGAGGGAACAAGGGAAAACAAAGTATTCTTGGAAAGATAGCATGAAGGAAACTTCAATTTGGAACCAATAATGTGAAGAATTAGGGATTGTATTCTGCAGTTGAAGCTTCTGGTAGATTACATAGACTGAGCAAGATAGCTCTGTCAGAATGGACCTGTGGGACCCTACTGGGATGGTGTATAAATACCTGTCTGGTATCATGTTTTACTGACTGAACTGTAGATGTATGCAAATTACTGCAGTGTAAGCTTGGATGACCACGCTAATGAGTTCAGTTCTGAAGTCTGGCAGTGGATTAACTGTTGTCTGTATTACTGTTTAGTTCTGCTTACCCAACCTTGACCGCAGAACGTTCTGCTTTCCAGTCCTTCCTTTTCTTCTGATATCCATAGGCCTTAATAACACATTCAGCAGCTCAGTTTGTCCTTTCAGTTTTCAAGTGGAGAGAGTTCCATTTTGCTTTTTTGCCTGTGTCTAGCTACAGTTAATGTATTTCAGAAGTAGGTTGGCTAGTCTTAGTGAAGCTTGTTCTTGGTTGGAGTGCTGACAAGAATTACTGTTTTTCCTTCAGGCATTATACGTACAGTGTGTTCCCTTCACTTGTAGATTTCTGTTAACTGCATTGTGTATCCTAGCTGCCTTAGACTTGGAATTTACATTAAACTTTAAAAGTTATGTGGTAGCTGTTAAACATATGAATGAGGTTTGTTGGTAGCTAGTAACAAGATAAATAGGGTCACCTTTACATGTGTACACTTGGAAGCATTTACAACTCAAGATGAGATAAAACCATAATCTGTCTGTAGATGTCAATAAAAGAGTTCCCTTATATTTTAACACACTGGTCAACACTTCAATGAAGACTTTGAAACCATGATTGCCTTGTAAAATTGTGGTACTTTAAGCCAGTTTCTTGATACTTGTGCAAGTCTTGTCATTCATTGCATTATACTAATGGGCCAGAGAGGTTTAAAAAAAAGATGCTCAAATGCTCCACTGAAAGCTATTACGGTTAATTGACAAAATCAGATTTCAGTGGTCTTCATTTAAAGGAGCATTTCATGCGTGTAGCAAAGATTGCAGCATTTCAGAGAAGAGTGAGCTACTGTAGATGTGAGGATGTTGAATAAAGAGGTTTGGTGCAGAATATATAATCTTTATTCTTTCAGTTGGGAGTTGGATATGTGGTATGGGGAAAACAGTTGATTTTAGATACCTGCTCAGATCTAATTTGGATGAAAGGACTGTTTCACTGGAGGCTTTTATGGACTTTACTTTAAATGGATCATTGAATTGCCTTTGTTATGATGAATCTTTGTTACAATGAGTAAGTAGGTCCTCTGGGATTTAGGTGTACAGTTAAGCCATCAATTTGAAGATGTCCTTGTAAGAATTACATGTTGGATTTTAATAGAAGCAATGAAAAACGAATAAGAGGTTCAGTTCTGAAATAGACTGATTTTTTATTTTGCTATTGGATTTCTTTGTTCAGCTTATATTGTGACAGTAATGTTTGTTCTCATTACATATGGGCCCGAATCCCTAAGTTTTGTCAGCTTATCACGAATTATGCTAGAAGTTAATTTTAATCTATTTGTTGTCACATGTTGCAAGCTATATTTCAGATAGCACAGAGGTTAGTATTCCAAGCTCTGTATATTTTTATTTCCATGCTCTTTTATGGAAGCATTGCCCCCTTAACTATTTGAAGTTTCATGAATCTGAATGGGTTTGATTAACCATCTTCCAATTTACTATGTCTTTTTTCTTGGTCGCTAGTATACTTTCTAAGTGGCACATGGCCCCTCTTACAGACTCATTGACTTCCCTAGGGCAACAGTTTAAAACAACCAACCGCTTGCATATTATGCAGAGGAGAGAAATACGGAAATTAGACACTCACCATGGGCGGATGCAGCGCTGTACTGAAAAATCAAACTGATTCTCTGCTTAGCTTTTAATTAAAACCACTATTTTAATTCAGAAAGGGTATTTGGGGCCTAAGGGAGGGCTGACAGTGCACTTTCAAAGAGTTTAAGTGCTCTTTCTTGCTATAGTTTATTTCCATCTAATAACAGATGCCGTTATTATCTGGAGTAGTGTGTGTGTGTGTATACATCTACAGAGATGTGCAAAACTTTACAGTGTGAATTTGTGCACACATTTACATGTAAACAGGTGTGAATTAGGCTTCTCAAGACTATTGAAGTAATCAGAGTTCATTGTGTCATTGTAACATTTTCCTTAGCCAGTGCTATTAACTGGAATAGTCTGAAGTACCTTCAATATCTTGCACTACTGCATGGCTTTATAAATTTTTTGTCTTTGTAGAGTCTTTACATCAAGTTGTATTTTGTGTTTAGATCCTCTGACAGCTCTTTGTCATGGGCCTTCATGTTCTGTAGTACAATTGTGGAACAAAAAAATGTCAGCTGTGTTCGTTTATGTCAGAATTAACCTTGTTCTATAGTGTTCTAAAAGAAGAAACTTATTTGTAGTTGAGCATCTGTAGTTTGCAGTGCTGATGTTTCCGTGTGCGATAAGGCTGCACAGAGAGTTACACGAATGCTGCTGTGTGAAGAAGGCAAGGTTTTTGAAGAGATAATTGCTGTACCTTCCTTGACCTTAAAATGTGCTTTCTCTTGATGTAAC